TTTACTCAAGAGCAAGAACTTGCCGGGGACTTTTTGGGGAGAAGCTATCTCGACGGCGGTCTATCTTCTCAACCGGGATCCAACAAAGGCAGTGATCGGCAAGACTCCGTATGAATCAATTTACGGATGTAAGCCGAATGTGTCTCATCTACGGACATTCGGGTGCGTGGCGCATGTGAAAACGGCGGAGCCGCATCTCTCAAAGCTTGCCGATCGTAGCACCAAGATGGTGTTTATCGGATACGAGAGGAGTTCCGGCACCAAGGCATACGGCTTCTACAATCCACGAACCAAGCGTCTAAGCATTTCACGCGGCTTTGTGTTTGAAGAAAACCAAGCGTGGAATTCGAGCGCGGCAGCCGACGATGCTCCAAAAGGTAACATATTCACAGTTGAATTTCTAACTGATGATGATGCAAGGGAGGATGTCCAGGTGGTTGGCAAGACACCCAACCAAGGTGACCGCAAAGGCAGTGATAACCATGGTGCCGATACCGACGACGACGCGCATGGGTCGCAAGGTGATAGCGACAACGACGCGCATGACACGGGCGGAGATCTCGACGACGAAAATGAGGCGCATAGTGACAATGGCAATCAAGATGATGGTCATGGTCACGATGACTATGCCAACGATGCAGATGTCAACGATGCGGATGCCAACGACCCGACATCTACCACGCCCGAGACTCGTCAATCTTCCTCAAGTGCATCGACGCCGACACAATTTGTGTCGCCCCCTTCACAAGCCACAACGGATTCTTCCGGGCCTCGTCGCTACAAGACCCTCAAGAAAGTCTACAAGTACGCAAAGCCAGTTACACTTGAGTACTCCGATTTGTGTTTACTCGGAGTTAAGGACCCAGCGAACTTCGTAGAGGCGAGCAAAATTTCAAGTTGGATGCACGCCATGGATGAGGAGATGAAGGCGATCGAGAGCAATGGCACGAGGCATTTGGTAACCCGACCTCCGAACCAAAAGGCCATAGGTTTGAAGTGGGTTTACAAGTTGAAGAAGGACACAAAAGGTGCCATTGTGAAGTACAAGGCAAGACTCGTTGCAAAGGGCTACGTACAACGTCAAGGAGTTGACTATGAGGAGGTGTTTGCACCGGTTGCTTGAATCGAGAAGGTGAGAGTGCTCCTAGCTTTGGCAGCACAAAAGGATTGGAAGGTTCATCATATGGATGTTAAATCCGCTTTCCTCATCGGTGACCTTATAGAAGAAGTATACGTGGAACAACCCCTCAGCTACGAGAAGAAAAGAGACGAAGGAAAAGTGTACAAGCTCAAGAAGGCACTTTATGGGCTGAAGCAAGCGCGAAGAGCTTGGAACTCAAAGTTAGACCAAAGATTGGTCTCACTCGGGTTCAAAAGACCCCTCGACGATCCAAATGACAGTCTACCAAGCACCGAAAAACAGGTGAAGGTTGAAGACGCGACTAAGAAGGAGCGCTGGCGTCAAGCTACGGACGAGCCCACGGCAGCAAAGACGGTCCCTAAGATGCTACGAAAAATGGCAAAAGCAATGCCAAAGATTATGACTATGAATAGTAGTAGTCGCATTTGGGATCCAGGTCGAAACCAGGATGTCATGCTTAGGGGGTTGACTGTAAGGAATAAGCACGGCACCGTGTACGTCTCGAGTACGTGTCCGTGTAGTGCTAGAAGTCCTAGCTGACTAGGTTAGCTGAGGTTGCTGGCTTAGTAGTATATATATACGTACCCCTGTAATCTTTGTACCAACAAAACAGTTCAAAGCAATAAAGAAATGTAAGGCACGTCAAGAGCCTTTGGCTATCAATCCATCGATCAGTTTTGTTCTGCCGAGAGGTTTCGCCGAGACAGCCGATTGCTAGCTTCGCTAGTTGCAAGCTCGCCAGTTCTACGTACAGGAATCAATTAAGTTGCTTGCCTGCTAGCTAGCTTTGCACATCGTACGTGTATTTGCTCCTGGGAGTTTTGGTCTAGCGATCAAAAACCAACATTTTTCTACTAGTGGATCCTCCACAGTTGGTCAGTGAATTAATCCAACAAACTTTTATACATGTTGATGCATAGGCCATCCTCTCAATACCACTCTGTAACATGGCAGTTGACGACTTCTGGTCATGCCAATACGACCAAAAGGGCATCTTCTCTGTCAGGTCAGCATACAGAATGATAGTTTTGACAAAGCATCGGAGAGAAGCTTGGCTAGAGGGACATGCGGGACCCTCAGGCGGACCAGCGATCATGGACTAATCTTTGGAAGGTTCAGGTTCCGTTAAAAATTCGTATATTCCTATGGAGACTTGCTGAACAGTCTATACCTTCAGAGATCTTCTCCATCACCGTAATATGGCAACTTGCAGTAATTATAAGCTCTACAGAATGGAGGACTCATTGCGCCACTCGCTTCTGGACTGCACGACATCACGTTGTGTATGGGAGCTTACTGATGGAGGAATAGTTCACGCCATGCACCAATCCAGGGAACTGGACGCAAAACGTCAGGTTTTTACTATGTTGGACTCACTACCACACAACCAGTTTATACGGTTGCTGGTTACTCTCTGGGCGATATGGCACGCACGACGCAAGGCAATTCATGAAGCTGTCTTCCAGAGTCCGAGAGGTACACATGAATTCATAGAGAGATTCTTCATTTGTGAGATAAATGCTATTAAACCTGCACATACCATTATACGCCATGTAAGCATGCAAGTCATGGCTGGCCCAACCTGGGTTGCTCCTCCAGTGGGATCAGCCAAAGTAAAGGTAGACGGAGCTGTTGGCAATTCATCTAATCATGGATATGTTAGTGCTATTTGCATAGGTGCCCAAGGGAATTATCTTGGATCCTCGGCACTGGTTTTTGCTGGGGTAACCGACCCGACTATGCTTGAAGCTTTAGCATGCCGAGAGGCCATGGCCCTATCATCTGACCTGTTACAAACAAGCATCATTAATTGTTGCATCAGATTGTAAAGGTGTCGTGTCAAACATAAAAGGACGGCACTGGCAGGAAACATCGTCATATCATCCGGGAGATAAAGATTATGGCATCGGAGTTCCAAGAATGCTCTTTCGTTTTCGAAGGAAGAGCTCGAATCTGGAGGCACATAGCCTCGCTAAACATGTGCTTAGTTTATCTGCAGGTCGTCATTTATGGCTTTTGCGACCTCCTTTCAATTGTATTCCTCAAAACATTATTGAGCAATAAAGAGCAAGCGTGTGTTAGCCTCACAAAAAAAAGTTGGAGGTGATCCTAACGTGCCTAAGACTAGCCATAATGGTGAGTAACATACACATATCCCTAGACTATGTTACTACCTTCATAGTGGGTAGTAACATAAGTGTGATAACATGCAAAGCTTCATTTATTAGGTTATAGACTCATATTACATTGGGACATGTGATGTTACAGTAACTAGCTAAGTTACTATAACTACCTCTCTCCTCATTAACTCACTGCCACATAAGCAAATTTGCTGAGTTGGACTCGATGTTACTGCTGAAATTACTCACACTGTGGGTAGTCTAAGATGGTAGGTTTTGTAGAGTGGGAGTAAAGGTAGGGGTAAATAGTGGCTAGGGCAATTATCAGTCCAATTTTTGCGAGCCCTTTTTCTTTGTCTCTGTCTTTTTCTTCTTTACTTATTTTTGCATGCTTGCAATTTCTAATAGACCGCCGGTTGTGTGGTTTGAACCTGCCCCAAACTCATGTCTTTGTTACATTCAAAAACAGAAAGGAAACCCGTCTTCTTGTGTAACTAGCTAAGGGTGTTTTAGCATGGCAAGCCAGGCCAGGGTTGGCCTACCTTGGCTGCTTTCCAACTAATAACTGACCTAAAAGGAGCAGCAGACGCCATGGCTGCTCGGCGAGATAATGTTTCCTACTCCTGCGTCGTACAATCTCAAACCACGGGTACTATTTAGAATGCCGCCGTGACGGGCGTAGATGTACCGACCGGAACAGGACAACAGGTAATGGCGCGGCAAGACGCCGGCGAGCGCGCTTCGGACAAGGCAAGGGAGTGTCTCCTCCCTCGTCCGCGATCGAGCACGCACGTAATAACGGGCGGGATACGCGCATTGTCGGTGATAGAGACGGCCGAGCAGCTGAATTGCATCGGATTGGCTTGAACAAATCGCTCTTCGCAGCCTGCTTCGTCCGCTGTATTTGAATATGGCTAGCTAGTGGCTCGGTGCTCGGTTTAGCCCAGAACATTTTTTACCCCGGAAGAGACAGAAGTCTCATGTGATGTGACTCCTCTCTGATGCGAGTGTAATTGATTACTGGCTGTCTGCTGAGACAGCTTGCCACCATCAATCGGACAGCTATGTCCATGTATGTACGTAGTACCTACCTCTTTTGTTTTGTCAGCCCCTCCAAAAAAAGACACACAACTTGGTTGCCAGGAGGTCTGGAGGTACAAACATTATCATGTGCAACTACTCGATAAGCCACCCGTCGCCATGTGCAATCGTGCATCGTTCCTGGAGCTCCGCCCGCGACGACGATAGTCCCACGAAATGGATGCATCATGGATCTGATTCAGAGACGCATGTGTAGCAGGCAGCCTGCATAAACAACCATATCCCCATTTGATTGGCTCCAAATTAACGGAATCGGAATGAAAAAAATAGCGCGCTACAGAAAATAGCGCGGCCCCTAAAAATATGCTATTAGTATGCTATAGCGCGCTACAACGTGCTATTAGCGAGACATTAGACACAAATTAATTTAGCGATGCAATTCTTTACACGCTATAGCGTGCTATTAGCGGCGCTATAGCGCGCTATTTTTTCAATGTTCGGATGCTTTGCTTCGTTCCCCATCCGAACCCCTCGCGGCCTCCCCTGTTTGACCTTGAGATGGCGATGCTATCCATAGTTCCATACACACATCATCCTGCCTATAAGTACCACATCCTATCTTTGCTCAATCCACACCCAGGAAGCGCACGACAGCTATAGCACCAAGCTGATAGGAAGCAATCATTGGCCAGTCGATCATGGCGAGGATTCAGCTTTCTGCCATAGCGGCCTTCGCAGTCTTCCTCGCGCTGGCCGCCCCCTCCATTGCCGGCGACCCCGACATGCTCCAGGACGTCTGCGTCGCCGACCTGAAATCCTGTGAGTCATCACTTCTGCTCAATTATACACACATCTTTGTTTCTCAACTTCGTTGTGTGCTGGCTCTTGCTGACATGGCGTTTTCTTGAAAACGGCAGCGATCAAGCTGAACGGGTTCCCGTGCAAGGCGGAGATCACGGCGGACGACTTCTTCTTCGCCGGTCTCAAGAAGCCCGGCAACACAAACAACCCTGCAGGGTCGAACGTCACGGCGGCGAACGTGCAGTCATTCCCCGGGGTGAACACGCTTGGTGTGTCAATGGCCCGCATCGACTACGCGCCGGGAGGCCAGAACCCGCCGCACACCCACCCGCGTGCCACCGAGATTATCTTTGTACTCGACGGAGTCCTCGAGGTGGGCTTCATCACCACTGCCAACAAGCTCTTCACCAAGACCATCACCGTCGGAGACGTGTTCGTCTTCCCGCGTGGGCTCGTGCACTTCCAGCAAAACAGGGGACATGTCCCCGCCTCTGTCATCGCCGGCTTCAACAGCCAGCTCCAGGGCACGCAAGCCATCGCCACCACGCTCTTCGCTGCCGCGCCGCCAGTGCCTAGCGACGTGCTGGCCAAGGCCTTCCGGGTCGGTACCGAAGAGATCGACGCCGTCAAGGCCAAGTTTCAGTAGTGTGGGTGCCTCCGGAGTTGGCAACTCTCCATCCGTTTCGGAAGAATAACGGTGTGTTCATTGCTGAATAAATGATAGTCAAGCGAGGTGTAGCGTGCAGTTGATTTGTTGATGTGTATGTTCCATTTGTTTTCTTTAAAATAATACGAAATTGTTTCTCATTCACATAGTGTATGTTCACTTTAGTAACGTGTCCTCCATTTCTTATAGGGCCGACCAGACCCTATAAGGTGTGTGATGTTCACGCTAGATGGTTTATAGGGCCGACCAGACCCACTCATCTTTCATCCATGTCTCTTGCTACCTCTGTGCGACCCATGCCCACCTCAATGTTG